GACATGCCCCAGCATCCTAGGGGTTTTATTAGTATGTGGGTTTAGAATTAGCAGGAGTTGATTGGGGAAACAAGGTCATCTGTATTTTGTTTGGTGTTTTGCAAAGTAACTTGCTGTGGACTTTTTCTTTATATAATGATTGAAGTGCAGAGCAGAAGTGCCCACTTAAATAAATCCACTTTATCAAAAGAAAATCAACCTATGCCACCCACCCCAGCATGTGTCTTCCAGCATGTTCTCCCCATAAAAGGTGGTCTAACTTTACACTGTGATATATGGGGGAAGTACTTGCCACTTAATCAATCAGGAGTTTTTAGAAAATACATGGCCAGCAGAGCAATCTTTTCTCACCAAAATCCTACTACAAGAGGAGCAAGAGAGCAGAGTTGTAAAGATTAAGATCAGCCCATAATTTAGGTAAGACACTAAAGAACAACAAAAAAAATCATAATAATGTAGACAGCATAGATGCCATAGTTTACCATAGAGACATTGATAGCAATCAGTCAGTTTCAGTTTTGGGTGTGCATGTGAAAAGCAGCGGCATATTGTAAAGTCTTAGTTTACCATAGACACATTAATATTAATCAATCAGATTTACTTTTAGATGGATGTGAAAAGCAGCAGCATAGATGCATAGGGACAGAGAATAGATATTCAGATGAGGCAGAATGGAAGTGACCACTTAACAAAGAAACCCATTTTAATGAAAGAAAATGAGCCTGTGTCACCCCATCATGTGACCCCCCCCCCCCCCAGTTAGACGCAATTACTGAAATGGTACTATTTATCTCAAACTCCATATCATGTATAAATATACTAAAAAGTAAGGGTCCCAACATTGAAACTTGGGGTACTCTACTAATGACCTTGGACCATTCTGAGTATGCGTCATTAATCACTGATCTCTGAATACTGTCTTTAAGCTTCTCTGTTTTCTATTTATTTACAATATTCCAAGCCTGCAGACTTAACTTATACTTTAGTCATGTGTGAGGAACTGTGTCAAACATCTTTGCAAAATCCCAGTATATATTATATCCAGCCATTCCTTTTTCTAAGTTCTTCCTTACCTTCTCATAAAAATAAATCAGATTTGTTTGACAGCTTCTGTCTTTCATGAATACATGATATCCATTGCTTACATTTATTTTTTTGTAGCAAAAACCTATCTATGTGGTCTTTTACTAAATTCTCCATTATCATCCCTACTAGAAAAGTAGCTATCTTTTGTTTGTAAACCCCCCAGGTTAATGAGATGAACAATTCAGGCATGTTTTAAGTCCAGCCTGGGAGGCAAAGATGGCTCCCTTCATAGGCAAAATGGGCTAATTGTAGCCACCCAACAACAGGAAGTTTGTAATTCATAGGATTACCAGGTAAAAATAAAGTGGAAAAAATGTTTAAAAAAACTAATGCAACCACAGCACCATTGACTGCTAGGCTGCAATACAGTAAATTTTTTTTGGGGGGGTGGATACATTTAAGTTGTTAAAGGCTAACTAAGGGTTAAGCTTATATGCCATAAATATCTGTAGTAAAACCTGCAAGTGCTAAGCTGCCTAATACACCAATGATTTAAATATAGTGCGGGATTTAGTTTTTATTACAGGGAGTCCCAATGGCTATCAACTACCCAGTTCCTCACAAAGAGCTAAAGGCTGTTCCAAAGTAAACAAAAAAATGGAAATTATCCATTTATGTATATTTGTCATTTTCATATCTGACAGTATTAGTTCCTTTTAAATCTTATTTTAAGATCTTTCTGATTTGAGAACGTATTTGTGGTTACCTCTCCAGCAGAAACAGCACTCTGTTTGCACTCCATGGTGATTTCATTCAGAACAACACTTCTTTCACATGCAACTGTTTAGAGTTATTACATAACAGCATTGACTGTCAATGTTATCTGTCCTAGAAGTCAACATTCCTTGTTGGACAATAAACAGTATTCAGAAAATATGTTCTTTAAAGTGGGCTTTTCAATAAAAAGGAAAATGTAATAGATGTTAGCAAAACTGGAAAGTAATGTGAGAAAAAGCTCACTATTGTGTAGTTATCTAAAAAAAATCCACATCCTATTCCACATAGCAGATTAAGTCATTTGCACTTTGGCATTTAAAAAAGGCACATATTTACTGTTAACACAGCTAAAAGATAAATAAAATGAGGTCCTTGCCTTAATATGCTAAAAGCACAGCTGTGAAGATTTACCTACCGGTCAGTATGGCCTGCTGGATGTTTCCTGCTAATGCATCCTATTTTTGCATTTTGCTTTTGCTATTTCTGTCCATCCTGGATCCTTCTGTCTACCTGTTGCATTTCCAATATTGTTTCTTCTGCTTGGCATGTGTCCTACTGTTTTCTTGTTGGTGTAGCTCTCACTACTTACTCTTCCAGGAGCTTTCTTGTCTTTTCCTACTCTCCAGACTTCCCTTCTTGCCATGGCACATGCACACTTGCACAATTTATGCTCACAAAGGACTTGTGCACAATATGCTACCTACACACCTCCTTTTATTGGCTCATGGTACTTTTAAAAAGGCACCAGAAACCAAATGTTTGTTGCCCATTTTAGTGTACAGATTGAAGTTCCTGGATGTATTTTTTTTTCTCCTGTATTTTTGGCTCAATCTTCTACCTACATGCTAACAAACTAGAATACATCTAAATCTGAAAGGAATTGCAACATAGGTAGGTAAAAACATTTTTTTTAGCTCTGACTGTAATAAAGAAATAAAATACGTACAAAACCACTCCCCTAGTTCCAAACAAATGGGAATAAAATATGCAGGGGTAATTACTTGACTGGTTGCATCATTCAAGGAGAGATCAGAGTGGCCATCTATTTTTACAGATAAATTACTCAGTGCCTGCTTGAATGAATATTGATGAAGGTAAAATAAGACTGTTACAAGGGCACTTTAATATTTCTGATTGGAGTTCAGCTTTAACACTTTCCCTTTTAACTGCAGCTTTAGAAAGCAATGAAACTCCAATAAAAACAATCCTTTATTCAGTACAAGATCACTAACTGACCACTTTTGTGCAGATGTTCCACACTTTACCCAGGGGCTCAGGGACTCAGTATGAAACTTGCATTCATGCAAGTGCTTGAAATTAGATGCTAGTGATCACTATATTTTACTATGTTCTCATTCGGTAACCCATTTCCTTAAATTAACTTTTCCAAATATTTTTAAAATGTTTATATGTGCCTATCTTTGCCATGTTTTTTAAAAGAAGCATTCCAGAATAACTAAGAAATTTAAATTCATTTGTAGTTTGCACAATCTCAGCGTGAACAAAGCAAGAAAGTTTGACTAGATGAAAGTGACTGTCAAAAATGAACTTGGCTTCAGTTCACAGCTCAAAGTGATTTAAGATTAAGGTAGATTCAAGTCTCAGAATATAATTTTGATGAAAGTGAATATATAAAAAAACCTCCGCTCACAATTCTTTAGGGAAGCAAGTGCCATATCTTTGTGTATGGAAAGTGCCACACAAAACACCCTTCAGAATAATAGAACCATTGTTGGGGAAAAAAGGGATACAATCTGACAGCCTTGCCCAAGCCTTTTCCCTTACTGTCATTGTATGAAGTTATATAAAGTCAAAAGATGCTTCTTATACTTTTATTGCAAAGATTGAAAAAAATCATCAAACCATTTTTCTTTTAAAATTAATATGACAGAGCTATATATATATATTTAACTGCACATTTCAGTTTAAACTTTTCATCAGGGAATTTAATAACTATATAGGGTAGTTAGATATCAACTCTTTTGCTTTTAGTACTTATGGCTTTTGTAGTCGAAGTTAAAAATGTAAGAAAAAACTAAATACTTTGACTTCAGCTTCTGGATTGATTAAAAGCATTATCACAAATTGTAGATTTTTTTGACAGTATAGTCATTGTCATAGTAACAAGGGTACTAGAAAAAGCAACAGCTATCATGCCCAGTTATATTCTCCAAAAACCCATTCACCAACAGAAACATCATTAAGGTATGTTCATGAACTGGAAGGCACATACATGCTTTCTCCAAAGTAGCGGATTCAAATGAACGGATTCGAATTACACATGTGTTGGACAATTGAATTCAGGGAATAGTGCACTTATTGCAGCCTGTGTTTAATATCAACCTGAAGACTATGTATTAGGAATGAACCCAGATCTGAATGCACAAACTCTATTTCGAAGAATGTAACAGTAATCACTAGATTTCAACAACTACACATAAATTGGAAAAGTATTTCTCTTCTTTCTTCCATAATTTAAATATCACCTTTTTGTCTTAGAAAAAAAAGGTAAAATCTTTATATTTGCTTGGGATATTTCTAAATAAATTACCTGATAGATTACACACAACAATCTGTGCTTACAACAATATAGAGACTGTCTGGCTATCATATCGATCCTTTTAGATGTTTTCTTGAGTCACTAATTTGCAACAAAAATGTAAAAATTAGTTGGATGGAGGTTGACAATAGAAACATTCACATTTCTCTCTGCACAGGTTTTTTTTAAAGATCCTGTTTACACAGATATGAGATCAAATTCTGTATCAGCTGTTTGCCAGAAATGTTATCTCTTTTATTTAACCATTTGCCCTCCAGAGGATTTTCCTGACCAGGCCTTTTTTTGTATTAGGGCACTGCGTTACTTTAACTGAAAATTGCGCAGTCATGCAACGCCCATCCCATGAATAGAGCTTACTTTCTGTGGTATATAATCGCCTGTGCATTTTTATTTTTTTGTGCTAGAAAAAAAAGACCGAAAATTTTGAAAAATAAAACTATATTTTTTACTTTTTGCTATAAGACATGTCCAGTAAAAAAAAAATTAAAAATCACGTTTCGGCATAAATTTAGGCCAAAATGTATTCTGCTACATGTCTTTGCTAGAAAAAATCCCAATATATGTAAATTAACTGGTTTACGTAAAAGTTACAGCGTTTACAAATGGCGTTATATATACTGGGATTTTTTTTCTTATTATTTTTACTAGTAATGGCGGTGATCAGTGACTTATAGTGGGACTGCAGCAGGCATTCTGACATTGGGGGGAACTGACTTGGTGTCACTGACATCCCCAGTGACACCAATATAGTGATCAGTGCTAAAAAAAAAAAAAACACTGGCATTATGCTAATGGCACTGGGTAGGAAGGGGTTAACATGAGGGGAGATTAAAGGGTTAACTGTGTGCTGTGTGCCAGTGTTAGACAGCCTATCAGCAAATAAAGGAGAATGCACAGAAGATATTGAATGTTATTGGGGTGCCATTCTAGAACATATCGACTCGAAAGGAGTGAGGGGTCATGATACCTGCTGTGTCCGTGTGCTTCACTGTAAGCACACTGCTTTGTATGGCTGCTCTATGCACAGCCATCCAAATCAGTGTGCATGAGCTGATTGGGAGGAGAACTGTTTTGTTTACAAACAGCACTCTCATTAGCCATTTTTATTCATCCATTGGTTGGAGCCAAGAGGCCCAGGTATGTGAGATATTATAGGGTGAGTCACACACTATACTAATCAGTATTTCCATCTCTGCTATTTTGTGTGGTTGGATCAGCCATTCCCAGATATTTGGCATGTGGGTTAAGCCTCAATGCATCAGTATTCAAAGCTTAGCAGCATTTACCTTGTGCATCACCAATGATTTGAAGTATACTTTTTTGAGAAGAGATGAGTGGCGTAAGAGGTATTTTGCTGAGGTAAAATCCAGGACATAAGTAGTGACCTGGTTAATGATACCTTGAACTTTAGTCTAATAGGGCTGGAGGAGGCCACACATTTGGAGAGTTCCTAACTCTGTACCACACCTCCAACACCCATTAGAAGTCACTAGGGAAATTTTTTGTATCTGCACCGGGGTTCTGTATCATTGCAATTAGAGATGAGCGAATCGAACCTGGCGAAGTGGAATTCGTTTTGAATATTAGGAAAAATTTGATTCGCGTCGAATCCGAATATTAGCAAACTTCGGATGCACGAATCGAATTTTCCCCGATCCGCCGATTTTCATCCCTTCTACAGCCGGCAAAAAGTGTCCCTGCAGAGAGCTCCGCTATTTCTGACAGTTCTCTGACAGTTCCTTCACATTTACAGCAGTTGAAACATTGTATCTATTTGTTTCCATTTAGGATACAGATGTTTTTATTCGGAAACAAATAGATACAATGTTTCAACCGCTGTAAATGTGAAGGAACTGTCAGAGAACTGTCAGAAATAGCGGAGCTCTCTGCAGATACACTTTTTGCTGGAATGGAATTCTTCTTCATCCTCATCCTACTTCTTCTTCTTCTTCCTCTTCATCCTCATCCTACTTCTTCTTCTTCTTCTTCATCCTCATCCTTCTTCTTCTTCTTCTTCTTCATCCTCATCCTACTTCTTCTTCTTCTTCTTCTTCATCTTCATCCTACTTCTTCTTCTTCTTCTTCTTCATCCTCATCCTACTTCTTCTTCTTCTTCTTCTTCATCCTCATCCTACTTCTTCTTCTTCTTCATCCTCATTCTTCTTCTTCTTCTTCATCCTCATCCTACTTCTTCTTCTTCTTCTTCTTCTTCCTCATCCTACTACTTCTTCTTCTTCTACTTCTTCTTCTTCTTCTTCTTCTTCTTCCTCATCCTACTTCTTCTTCTTCTTTTCATTCTTCTTCTTTTCATTCTTCTTTTCATTCTTCTTCTTCTTCTTTTCATTCTTCTTCTTTTCATTCTTCTTCTTCTTCTTTTCATTCTTCTTTTCATTCTTCTTCTTCTTTTCATTCTTCTTTTCATTCTTCTTCTTCTTCTTTTCATTCTTCTTCTTCTTCTTTTCATTCTTCTTCTTCTTTTCATTCTTCTTTTCATTCTTCTTCTTCTTTTCATTCTTCTTCTTTCTTCTTCTTCTTTTTTCATTCTTCTTCTTCTTCTTTTCATTCTTCTTCTTCTTCTTCTTCTTCTTTTTTCATTCTTCTTCTTCTTCTTTTCATTCTTCTTTTCATTCTTCTTCTTCTTCTTTTCATTCTTCTTCTTCTTTTCATTCTTCTTTTTCTTCTTTTCATTCTTCTTTTCATTCTTCTTCTTCTTCTTTTCATTCTTCTTCTTTTTCATTCTTCTTCTTCTTCTTCTTTTCATTCTTCTTCTTCTTCTTTTCATTCTTCTTTTCATTCTTCTTCTTCTTCTTCTTTTCATTCTTCTTTTCATTCTGCTTCTTCTTCTTTTCATTCTTCTTCTTCTTCTTTTCATTCTTCTTCTTCTTCTTCTTCTTTTCATTCTTCTTCTTCTTCTTTTCATTCTTCTTTTTCTTCTTTTCATTCTTCTTTTCATTTCTTCTTCTTTCATCTTCTTCGTCGTGCCCCGTGACTGCCCAAATGAGTGAAGTGTGCGGTGATTCTAAGATCGACTCATCTGCATGTCATACTGACTGACAGTATTATTTCTCTTCCCCAGCAGACTCCAAGGGCATTTAAATGAAAGGTACAGTGTTCTGCACTAATATAAAGGCTCTCTGAAGCCTAGAAACCCTTTTAATAAGTTAAATTCGCAGCGAATAAATTCGCATCGAATCAAATTTATTCCGAAAATTCGGCGAATCAGCCGAATCGAATTTTTGAATAATTCGCTCATCTCTAATTGCAATGTATTCTTGTTGCAGTTCTTTGTGGATGTTGGTGTGGATACGATCCCAGCAGACAAGTCCAGGGCTATACCCCTCTCTCAGGCATTGAAAGCCTTGCCAGTGTTAGACAGCCTATCAGCAAATAACAGAGAATGCACAGAAGATACTAAATGTTATTGGGGAGCCATTCTAGAACAGATTGACTTGAAAGGAGTGAGGGGTCATGATACAGAGGAAATATGATTCGCCTGGCAAAGATAGTGTTTATTTAAAGTTCAAAAGGGAACAATTGCCCCTGCATTTGGGAGGTCAGGGCATCATAATCCAGTAACCTACCTCTATGGAGAAAATATTTGACCAGAACTCGTTGATCGAGCCAGATTCTGGAGAGAAACCTCCGGGACATCCCTGGGGGAAAGTCTGGGTTGAACTGAAGAGGCATTAAAGGGCGAGAGGAGGAGGAAAGCGGGACTTTCCTGTAGGCCTCCTGAAAACATTGTATAGTGGATCCAATGAGAGGGTGATCCAAGAGGGTAGTGGGTATGTGTTGGGGGTACTTGAGGAACATGTTAGTTAAAGAATTTTCCAACCTGACACAAACTTTAACTCAATCATGCACATTCCAATCAACAATTCTGGAGAGGTGACAGGCCCAATGGTATTTTTTGAGATCCGAGAGGCCTATCCTCCTTTGTGCTTAGACAACACTAGTTGGTTGAAACTAATCCTAGGGTTCTGTTTGCAACATAGAAGAACAGTGTAGTATTGTTTGTATGTGATATATTGAGATGGCCTGCAGAATGTTTAATCTTGGTAATACATTCATCTTCATAATGGCTACTTTTCCAAACCAAGAGAAAACGGGTCTGTCCCTATTCCAAGATCATGGTGTATGTATTGAAGAACTGGTAAGTAATTTCTGGAGTACAATTCCAAAAGTCAGGAAGGAAGCTGGATATCCAGATATAGCATCTATCTTCCAAATAAACTGGAAGTTTTTTTGACACTGATTGATCATTTCCACAGGTGGAATGATATATAACTTTGTGAAATTGACTTTTAAGTTGGACACAGAATGAAAAACTGAAAAGTATTTTAGTAAGTTATGGAGAGAAATATGGGGATCAGTGAGAAAAAGAAGGATTTTGTCCCCAAATGCTGCAAGTTTGTACGTGTGTCTTGCTACTGCTAAGAAATTAATGGCCACATTAGCCTGGACACGGTGAAGAAATGGATAGAGGATTAAAATTAAATGAATCAGCAATAAGGGGCAACCTTTTTTTCTCTAGTGGATGATGAAGGCATTCCATGGGTGGCTATTGACCCCCGCATGGTGGGGGAGGAATTTATGGACATGATATCATTTAACATGTGATCTCGAATCCCAATAGCATGCAGGACTGTTACCATGCAGTCCCCGGCAACCCTGTAAATGTCTTCTCCGCATTCAAGAACAGAAAAAATACCTGTTGTTGTCAGGAAGTAAGCAATGATGTAAATGTAAGGCTTTAATGGTATTATCAATAGCTTCCCTACCAGGGAAAAAACCTGTCTGGTCTCTAGCAGTAAGAGAAGGGAGTAGTGGGAGCAAAAAATTAGCCAGAATTTTGTCCAAAAATTTTCATCTGCATATTAAAGTGTAAAATGGACTGAGAGTTGGTCACTGAAGATGGGTCGTTGCCCTCTCTAAAAATGACTGTGATATGCCCTTCCAGGAGCCTATGTGTTGGTTGTTTAAAAGAAAGAATTAAGGGCACATAAAAAGAATGGTTACCATTTGTTTGCACAGTTTACTGAATTGGATGCAGGGAAGCACTGCATGCCTTTGCTGTCATTTTGCTATACCTGGGCATCATGTGTGTCCCTGTACCTTTAAGGAGGGATGGGCTCCTCCAGGCACATTTGCCCTTAACCACTTGCCTACCAGGCACTTATACCCCCTTCCTTACCAGGCCAATTTTCAGCTTTCAGCGCTGCCGCACTTTGATTGACAATTGCGCGGTCATGCAACATTGTACCCATATGAAATTTTGATCATTTTTTTCTCACAAATAGAGCTTTCTTTTGGTGGTATTTAATCGCCACTGGGCGCTTTACTTTTTGCGCTATAAATTAAAAAAAGTGCAAAAAATGTGAAAAAAAAAAAAAGTTTATTTGTTTCTTTTATAAAATTTTTCAAACAGGTATTTTTTCTCCTTCACTGATTTGCGTTGATAAGGCGGCACTGATGGGCACTGATAGGTGGCACTGATGGGCACTGATAGGCAGCACTAAAGGGCACTGATAGGCAGTACTAATGAGGTGGAACGGATAGGCGGCACTGATAGACAGCACTAATTAGGGGTCACGGATAGGCGGCACTGATATGCAGCACTGATAGGCGGCACTGATAGGTGACACTGATGATGGGTACTGATAGACGGCACTGACTGGCATCACTTCTGGGCACTGACTGGCGGCACTGACTGGCACAACCCCTGGGCACTGACTGGTGGCACTGACTGGCAGCACTGCTGGGCTGCACTGGTGGGTGGCACTGGTGGGCAGCACTGGTGGGTGGGCACAGGTGGGTGGCACTGGTGGGCACAGGTGGGTGGCACTGGTGGGCACAGGTGGGTGGGCACAGGTGGGTGGCACTGCTGGGCACATGTAGGTGGCACTTCTGGGCACAGGTAGGTGGCACTGCAGAGTGGCACAGGTGGGTGCACTGCTGGTCACAGGTGGAGGCACTGCTGGGCACAGGTGGGGGCACTGCTGGGAACGGGTGGGCGGGGCTAGTGGGCGCACTGCTGGGCGGAACTTGCGGGTGTCATTGCTGGGCACCGATCATCAGGGCACTGATCATCA